GGCTGAGATGAGGGGGGAATGGAGAGTTACTGTTTAATGAGCACAGAGTTTCAGTTTTACAAGATGGAAAGAGTTCTTAAGATGGGTGGTGGTGGTGGTTGCATAATAATGTGAATGTACTTAATGCCACTGAGCTGTACACTTAAAAATGGTTAAGATGGTAAATTTTATGTTATATGTGTTTTATCACATAAAGCACAGCCTATGCAGCCTGAGGACCTGGGCTTCCAAGTCAGGCTTTGTCATGTGTTGGCTGTGGGACTGTGGGAATGATGTTTAACCTCTCTGAGGGTAGCTTTCTTATCATGCTGTGGGCAGAATCATACCACATAGTAAATCCATACACTGTAATGGTTTCTTCCCATTCTGGGGAAGAGGGCAGGTGGGATGAGTGGGGAACTTTCTGGAACAGAGCAGGCTGATGGTGTGGGTGTGGCACCTGGAGGCCTGGATTGGTCACATGGCAGTGTGAGCAGGGAGATCACCCCCTCTCCTAATTTGTGGGCACACAGTCAGGACTCAGAGTCCGTGTGTGGATGCCCAGCACTCTTAGTATTTCTTCCCTTTAGCCTGGAAAATAACTGTTTTTTCCACTGAAAATTTTAGACATTGAAAGCACTGAAAGAAATCTCAGACATTGTGCTGGGTCAACCCTTCATTTTACACATGAGAAGCCTCAGGTCCAGGTAGTCAAGGGCCTTGTCCAAGTTCATACGGGGGTGGAAATGTGACGGGAACTTAGGCAGCCCGATTTCACTCCCCCACCACTGGAAAGGCTTCCTGAATGTTGGGCGTTCGTGATACAAATTTGTGGTTAAGTCAAGTTTCTTGCCCTCAGGAACTTACCATTATTTCCCCCCTAGCGAGAAAATACATGAATTAGCTATAATAAAAAGTACTATAGTAAATATGCTGTGGTAAAATGTGTTATAATGAAAGTGCTGGAATTGAGGTGTGAGTGAGAGAAGGAGGTGCAGTGAGGTCCACCTGGAAGGGTGGGGAGGGCTTCACACTTGAGCTGACATCTTTGTGGTTATGAGGGCATTGAGGAAGCACCTCTGGGTTGGAGACAGTTCGGTCAGATAGTGGTGTGTGTGTGTGTGTGTGTCTCTCTCTTTCTCTCTCTGGGTGTTTGGGTGTCTGTGTCTGGGTGTGTCAGGGGAGTCCATGTAGAGAGGTCAGCACAAGTAGAAACTTCTTGGAAAAGAGCTTCCTCCTTGGTATTAGACAGGGCCGGGTTTGAAACCCAGCTCTGCCCCCTGCTAGTTTTGAACAAATAGTTTGCTTACTCTGACTTTCAATGAACTCCTCTGTAACACGGAGTTTAAACAAACAAACAAAAACTCCTTTAAGGATGTTGTGAGGTTATCATTAGGGAACACATACCTGGAATGTTAATCAGCAATTTGTATGAGAAGGAAAGGTCTCAGTTACACTAATATATGTGGTTGAATTACTCCATTGTTACCTCTCCTGCTTTGCCGTTGGTTTTCAGAGTGTCTTGATTGTGGGGTGTCCGTGTGGTGCTGTGAGCTCCCAGGGTGAGGAGTTAGAGATTTTCCCACAATGCCTGGTGTAGAACTCTCCAGTTAAGAACACCAGGCCCAGACCCTTTCTTTTATTAAGAGCAGGAAACCCAGTGTTTCCCCAGGAAGGTAGAATGACTACTTAAGAGACCCAGAACTGTTGCATCCTTCAGAGTTCTCAGTATTGCCAGGTTGCAGATTGAAAGCCTCAGAATGAATAACTGTACTTGTTAATTTATTCAGCCCAGTAAATTCTTAACTCTAGGTGCTCGGAGCTTACCATGGTAACCAGGGTGATGGTTGCTCTGTTTGTGAATATCAGGTGGTCAGCTTTAGCGTGTCCCTGCCTGGGAGTGGTCTGGAGTGGGGTGAGCTGTTAAGGATTCTCTGGGCTTGTGAACATTCAGCTGTAGGGAGGCATAATGAGTGATGTAGATCTTTACTACTGGAAGTGTGGTGCCCAGGCCAGTGGCGTCACATTGCATTGCTTGGGAGCTTGTTAGAAATACAGCATCCCAGGCTTCTCTCTAGACTTTCTGAATCAGAATCTGCATTTTAGTAAGATCTGTAGGTGCTTCGTGTGCACACTGAAGTTTCAGAAGCACTGATGTCACAGATTGGATGTGGATTATTTTTCCTTGGAGCTCAGTTTCCCCTTTCTCCGTGGAGGAGCCTTCCTGGTTCTGTCTGGCTAGAATTTATCCCGAGTTTATGTCTGACTCCTTTACAGAACTGAAGAAGAGGTTTCTAGTTGACTAAGAACTGTAGTGTCAAGAAAGGAAGTGGGGAAGGAACAGAATATGAAAAAGTTGTTCACCTGAGCTAAAGTCCGTTGCCAATCTTCCTCTTTTTGTATGTGAGCCACTGCCATAGCATGGCCACTGATAGATGAGTGGTGTAGGTCCGCACCTGGGAACTGAACCCGGGCTTCCGAAGCCGAGCACGCCGAACTTAACCACTAGGCCACCGGGGCTGGCCCTGAAAAAGTTGTTCTTGTTTTGAAACTTTAACATTTACCTTGAAATGTGTGATTGAGTTCAGAGTCTAGAAAGCTTTTGCTTATGGAAGTGGGAGAGCCAACATTTTTCTTACCCAAATCATTAACCACTATTTCTTGGCCCTCTTGTTCTATTCATTGCCTCAGCTTTTCTGTCCAGTCATTTTCTTTAGGTAAATATTTTAAATGGAGAAGGATAGACATGAGAGAAATGTTTTTATTTCCTTTAAATGTATATTTTCTGAAAGAATTAGTGATGAAAGACTTGTTTGCGAATGGGATTTTACCAGCACAGAGTTTTCAGTAGTCCTAGGCCTTCTGGTGAAACATAAAGATTTTTTTTGATTTCTTATGTTTTATGAGATATTATATCATTTTTTCCCCCTAAAAAATGAAAACTGGAAACGTTTTGAAGCATAAGTAAGCCTGGGGTCATGAATTCTAAATGTAATTCTTAGTGTTCAAAAATATTATTTATATTAAAAAAGCTAAAATGTTGAAACATTTTTGAGAAGGGTATTAAAAAATTCAATCTTGGCTTTTAGTGTCTTTTTTATCTGTATCCCTTTTACAATAGTGACATTTTTCTGGCATGGCCTCATCACATGCCCTTTGAACTTGTTTGCCTTTATTCAGTTAATTGATTCTCCATTAATCTGGAATTTTTGAGATGGGGAAATGAGCTCCAGATCAGGGATCAAGAGCTAGGTTAAAGGTTTGAGTTCTCTGCTCTGCTCCTTCCTAGCTATGTTGTGTGGGCACGTCCTGGGCCCTCACATAGTCATCTCTAAATGGAAGGAATCAGACTGGATCCATGATTTCCTGGGGGTGGGGGCTCTGTGAGAAGAGAGTGTGTGTATCAGGATCTTGCATGTGGGGAGCGTGTGTTGTTTGAGAATGCAGAGTATTGTATTTCTTTATTTGAAAAATGGAAAAAAAAATCTCTCTCTTTTTTTTTTAACAAGTGGTACCATGTAAACCATGATATAATCTTGGCTGGTTAAGACAGGATGGGAAGCACATGGGACTAGCAGTTCATTGCAGATAACAATTTTTAGTGAGTATTGCATACCAGGCACTGTTTTAAACTTTTGATTTACATATGATCTCATTTAAACCTCACAATCCCTAGAAGATTGGTACTGTTATCATATGAACAGACAGAGCAGAAAAGTGAAGTATCTCGCTCAAGGTCATCACAGCCAGTATGTAGGTAGATCTGGGATCCACACCAAGCTGAGCCTGCAACGTTGGCTGCTAGTTTTGCTGCCTCTGTGTTCATAGTCTGATATAAATCAAGATCAATTTTATGTATATTTTACTTTCTGACCAAAGAATGTTTTATAATACGTGTAACTGGAATGAAATTGCCCCTTAATCCTCAGGTGCAAAAAAAAAAAAAAAAAAATCACATATCCTTGACTCTAGGTGCTCAGAGCTTTCCATGGTGAACAGGATGGTGGTTGCTCTGTTTGTGAATATCAGGTGGTCAGCTTTAGTGTGTCCCTCCCTGGGAATGGTCTAGGGTGGGGTGAGCCACTAAATTTGGCTTAGAGTTTCACTTACAGAGACTGGTGAGTTGTTCAGTATCAATAGTCACTGGAGGATTCCTTCATTACCCATGCAATTTGGCTAGAAAATTCTGAGTGCCTCAAATCCTCACTCCATCATAGTGGTGCCGAGATGCTCATTGGCCAAGCCTGCACTGCCCATTTGAGAGTGGCCAATCACTGTGTTTATTCTCTCCATGCTCAGCTTGGCTGCCATGATCTCCCTGGGGCTCCTGAGGCCAAGGCTCTTAGGTATTAGCCCCCAGGCATCCATATGTCCAGTCTTGCCAGAGGTTTTCACATGCCCCTGCCAGGGAGCCACATAGATACAGAGCCTGGTACAGACATAGGCACGAGGTGCTAATGGACACAGAGCTTCCCGAGGGGAAGGGAAGTATACCTTTCATCCTTTCCTTATCGTCTTACAGGGAATTAATTTCTCTATCAAATTATCCTCCTGCCTGTAAATGACAGCAAGATTTAACATGACTGACCTTAAGCAATTTTATTAGTGTCCAATTTACATTTCTGTTGTTAGTGAAGGCATCTAGGTGACTAAACTGAGATAACCCCAATTCGTTATCTATGTGATGCTGGGTCAATGAATGGAATTCTTGAAGCCTCTGTTTCATCTTTTATAAAATGGGGATAATAATAGTTTTTATCCCACAGAGGGTCCTGGGGGATCAGCTTTAACAAAGACATTTGTTTGGAGAATGGCAATGAGACCAGCCAAGCTGGAGAGGAGAGATCAAGTGGGAGGGGCTCGTGGTGGGGTGAAGGCTGGAAGTGTTGTTTAACTGCCATTTTATAGAGTTTGGATTCACACTGGCCTTCTTTCCAGTTGTTTCATTAACTGGAGTTTGTGTTCTGCCTCAGACATGTACTGAAATCCCTCTGATAAGCTCCTTTTCTGGCCTGTTTTAGGACCCGACTGACTTTGAGTGGAGCTTCTGGATGGAGTGGGGGAAGCAGTGGCTGGTGTGGCTTCTCCTCGGCCATGCGGCTGTGTCTCAGATGGCCAACCTGCTTGCAAGGAAGGTATGATTATGTGCATCATTTCCTTTTAAGCCTCTTTCTCCTTTGCTTTTTGTGAAGAAAGAGTCCTGCGCTAGGAATCAGGACACATGGATATTAGCCTTGGAAGCCTGGAAAAGATGAGAAAGATTTGTTAATGACCAATAAGACATTTAAGATAAAGGTTCCATACATTCTTATCCTGCACTTACTTCTTCCAAGTTATTTTTCAAACCAATGAATTTGAAGGTTTTAGAGTAAAACTAACTTCAGATGGTGTTCTTTAAGATCATTCCTTATCAAATGATCTTATAAAAAACCCACCTGTTGTTGAGAATCTATGTGATTTCACTTCAAGTTCAGAAGACACTAAAGTGAATGATTTCATTACAAAATGGGAATAATTTTAATGTCAAGTAACTTATGCTATGGTAGCTGTTGTAGATCTGAATTCCAGTAGTATTTCACTCTTGCCTTGGCCTGGAATAGAGAACAACAGATTCTTCCAAGTGGATGTTTGAAAAATGCTTTTGCATGAGGCAGAACTGAGCACATCTTCATGTGTTTAGCTACCAAGGGACCTGAGATACTGCAGGAGGATCTTACTGTAGTGTGGGGGCCAGGCTTTGTCCAGCATCCTCTGATACATGCTTCTTGCCTCTGTAGATTCCTAATCTGAAAAATATGTGCTTGGAAATCTATCCAGTAAAAACAAAGCACGACCAAAAACTGACTTGGAAGTCAACCCAGAAAAAATGTTTAATTCTTAGAGGTTCTTGGAGGTGAAGACACTTAAGGGACAGAAGCAGCAGGAGCCTCTGGGCAAGAGAGACCAGAATGTGAGACTGAGAACACAGGGTGTCATGTGGTTAGAGATGAGCACCCGATTCGGGCTATTTTTTGGCTGTTTCCTGAAAATTGGTACTATCTAGGTTGCTTCTCATCCTGGAATATAGCAAATCCCAACAGCACACTCACTTTCTTTGTTTTAAATATGATATTGATTATTTTTTTGTACTCAAGTGGTTTGCATCTTCTAAAGTGGCAAAAACTAGGGCCGGCCCTGTGGCTTAGCGGTTAAGCGCGCGCGCTCCGCTGCTGGCTGCCCGGGGTTCAGATCCCGGGCGCGCACCGACGCACCGCTTCTCTCGCCATGCTGAGGCCGCATCCCACATACAGCAACTAGAAGGATGTGCAGCTATGACATACAACTATTTACTGGGGCTTTGGGGGGGAAAATAAATGAACAAATAAAATCTTTAAAGTGGCAGAAACTAAAATATTAGATGCTGTCAGATCTGAATATATTTAAAAATTTCACATAACTTCCTTTTCAGTTTATTGAGATGTAATTGACATACAGCACTGTGTAAGTTTAAGGTGTACAGCATAATGACTTGACTATTATATGTTGTCAAACGATTACCACAATAAGTTTAGATAACATCCATCATCTCATATAGATACAAGGAAAAAAAGAGAAAAAAGAAAAAAATTTTTTTCCTTGTGATTAGAACCTTTAGGATCTACTCTCTTAGCAACTTTCAAATACATCACACAGCAGTGTTAACTATAGTCATCGTGTTGTACATTACATCCCCGCACTTATTTATCTTATATCTGGAAGTTTGTACTTTTTGACCCTCTTCATCCAATTTCATATAACTTTCTGAGCAGGCCTAATAATCAGTAATACATTTTTTGTGTTCCTAAACTGGTAATGAATATATCTACCTCAGCCTTCCTTAATGAATTTCTTTTCTTCCAGTTTGGTGTTTTTTTAAGATTTCAAATTTTCTAGAAATTTAACATTTTTATTTCTAACACAAAGTTTTTCTGCCCATAGGTAGATGACTTACTACCCTTAGGTCTCAATTTTCCCAACTGTAAAATGAATAGCTTAATACCTGTCTTTTCTGCCTCTGTGAGAGGAAGATGAAATACTTTGAGGTGGATCTCTGAATGCATCCAGTCTCATACCACTGCTGTGGTTAAGGGCCCATTGCGGTGTAGTGGGAGAGCACTGGACGATGTACAACTCATGCTTGGTCCTGGCCTTTCTCACTGAGTAGCTTTCTAACCTTAGGAAAGCTTTCACTACTGAATCTTTTTTTGTGTGTGTGTGAGGAAGATCAGCCCTGAGCTAACATCCCTGCTAATCTTCCTCTTTTTGCTGAGGAAGACTGGCTCTGAGCTAACATCTATTGCCAATCCTCCTCCTTTTTTCCCCCCCTTTTCTCCCCAAAGCCCCAGTAGATAGTTGTATGTCATAGTTGCACATCCTTCTAGTTGCTGTATGTGGGACGCAGCCTCAGCATGGCAAGCGGTGCATCGGTGCGCGCCCGGGATCCGAACCCGGGCCGCCAGTAGTGGAGTGTGCACAGTTAACTGCTAAGCCACGGGGCCGGCCCCTCACTACTGAATCTTAATTCATCATTTTCTGTAAAGTAAGGTTGATGAAACAGTATTATCCTTTTGTTCCTCCCTTAGAAAATGGTGAACTTCATTTGTTAGAAATTTCATTCAAAAGTAGGGATAAAACGTGGAAAAGGTAGGACAAAGAGAAAGCAAAAAAAGAAATGGCAGAAATAAATGTAAATATGTCAGTAATCACAATCAGTGTAAATGGACCCAGTTTCTACCCACACGCCTCAGAAAAAGATTGTCAGGCTGGATAGAAGAAAAACAAACAGAAATAAAGGAAAATAAAGAAATAAAACGGAGTCCAGACATGTGCTTCTTAGCAAGATAGACTTAAAACAGAAGGACAGAGAAAGTTTGAAAGTGAAGGGATGGGAAAAGATGTTCCAGGCGGATATGAGACTCTCATCTCCCCCACCATCCCAAGTACTGGTGCAGTTTTATTAACGGCCGGCAAAGAGCATTATTAGTGACAAAGAGGGTTATTGTTTAGTGATAAAGTGTTCATTTAATTAGGAAGATATTACAATACTATTTCTTTGTAAAATATATGAAGCAAAAGTTGACCAGTAAATAGATAAATAGATAAATCTATGATTGTAGGGAGAGATTTTAGCATAATTTCATCACTAATTGATATATAGAAAAAAATAAGGAACAATACAATTAATAAGCTTAATATAAAAAAAAATGTAAATTATTGCATCTAACACTGGATAATTTACATTCTTTTAAAGAACACATAGAGTATTTATAAAAATTGACCACATACTGGACCATGAACTAATTTTCAACACATTTCAAAGGATGTGTTTTATATGGGTTACCTTCTGTAATCCCAGTGCAATTAAGTTGGAAACCAAGATGACCTGAAAACTCTAATTCATTTAGAAATTAAAAAAGAAAACATACTTTTTTTTTAAATAACTCATAGGTCAACAAAGAGATCATACTGGAAATTAGAAAATAGAAACGAATGAGAAATATATTACATATCAAAACTTGTAGGATGCAGCTAGACTGGTACTTAATTAGAAACCATAACCCTATATGCTCATATTAAAAATGAAGAAAGGGGCCAGCCCCGTGGCTTAGCGGTTAAGTGCGCGCGCTCCGCTACTGGTGGCCCGGGTTCAGATCCCGGGTGCGCACCGACACACTGCTTCTCCGGCCATGCTGAGGCCGCATCCCACATACAGCAACTGGAAGGATGTGCAACTATGACATACAACTACCTACTGGGACTTTGGGGAAAAAAAAGGAGGAGGATTGGCAATAGATGTTAGCTCAGGGCCGGTCTTCCTCAGCAAAAAGAGGAGGATTAGCATGGATGTTAGCTCAGGGCTGATCTTCCTCACAAAAAAAAAAAAATGAAGAAAGGCTGAAAATTAATGAACTAAGCATACAACTTCAGAAGTTAGGAAAGAACAGTGAAAAAAGGAAACAAAAAAGGAAAAGGAAAGAAAGAACAAAAATAGCAGATATTAATGAAATAATCAATGGCAAGATTGGTCAGGAAAAAAAAGAAAATGCACAAATAACCATTATTAGGTATGGAAAAGCCGATGAAAAAATATAGTAAGAGGATATTTGGCATAACTTTATGCCAATAATTTTGAAAACTTTGGCAAAGCAAATTTCTAGAAAATTTAACTTAGCAAAACTGACTCATGAAGAAATAGAAAGACCAAACAGTACTATAACAGTTAAAAGAAATTGAATCAGTAGTTAAAAATCTATTTGTAGGGCCGGCCCCGTGGCTTAGCGGTTAAGTGCATGCGCTCCGCTGCCGGCGGCCCGGGTTCGGATCCCGGGTGAGCACCGAGGCACCACTCCTCCAGCCATGCTGAGGCCGCGTCCCACATACAGCAACTAGAAGGATGTGCAGTTATGACAGACAACTATGTACTGGGGCTTTGGGGGAAAAATAAATAAATAAAATCTTAAAAAAAAAAAAAAATCTATTTGTAAAGGAAACACTAGTCTAACACACCACTTCTGCCCAACATCTGAGGCAAAAATTATTTAAATCTTTCTCAGGCTTTTTCAGAAAAGAGAAAAAAGGAACATTCATTTTCTGAAGACAGTGTAAAATTGATACCAAAATCAGAGGATATGCCCTACCAGATATTATGACTTACAAAGATATAATAATTAGGACATTGTTGTATTGGCACCAGGATAGACAAATAGACTAATGGAACAGAATAGAGTTTAGAAAATACCTGTACGTAGGTGGAAACTTGATTTATGACAGAACTGGCATTTCAGATCAGTGTGGAAAAGATGAACTAGTCAGTAAACAATGCTGATGCAATTGTTTAGTCATATTGAAAAGTGAATTGAATACTTGGCCCATACCGTATATAATCATATTCAAGGTGAATTAAGGACTTAAAACGAAAAACAAAAGTATAAAACTTTTAGAAAGCATGATATAGGAGAATATCTCTTGATGTTAGAAGGGAGCAAGATTTCTTAAACAAGACATAAAAAGTATAAATTGTAAAGGAAAAAATTGATGTTTAACTACCATTAAAAATAAGAACTTATCAATGTATGATAATATATAATAATCAATGTATATCTTTGGATGTATCCAA